CACCCACACCCAAACCCCACACCCACACACCCACACCCTCACCCCACACGCCACCAAAACCCACACCCACACTCTCCACACCCGCACCCACACCCGCACCCACCCACACACACACACACACACCCACCCACACCCTCCACACCCACACCCACACCCACACCCACACATTCACACACACCCACCCACACCCACACACCCACACCCACATCCCACACCTACACCCCACACTCCACACCCACACCCACACCCCTCTTCTATTTTTCTTGAACAACGACTCTAGTACTAGGTGCGGTGTGGGTATGGCGGTATTGTTGTAGATGTGGGTAAACAGAAGACTAACACCCACAACTACACCTACATGCAAACCCACGTCCACACACACCCACACCCACTCCCACATCCAGACTCACACTGACACACACTCGCACCCTCACACACTCACACTCTCACGCGTTCACATCGACCCCACACCCGCACCCACCCCACACCCGCACCCACCCCACACCCGCACTCACCCCACACCCGCACCCACCCCACACCCACATACGCCAATATTCACACTCTCACACACCCACCCTGACACCGACACCCGCCCACCCTCACCCCCACCCACACTCGACACCCAGACCCTACACCTGCATCCCACATCCGTATCCAGAGCCACACCCAGCAACACCCTCACATCCACACCCACCCACACGGTAATTTATATTTATTTTTAAATATAAATTAAAGAAAAAACAATTTATACTTAAAATAAATATATATTACTGAGAATTGAATTTACGCATAAATTAAATCGATAGTAAGTAGAAATTGACAACCCTACCTACACCTGACCTGCTGTCATTACTTTTCGTTTGATTTGGTTCTTATCTTCTATACGTAATAAATAGGAAGTTTGCCTGTTCGCATCATTATTCATCGACCATTAATTTGAATAAAATGAATAAATATGAGTGAATGGTAGAGACGCATATATACTTTTTTCATGTATTGCAAAAAGATTTGCATTGGCATACTAAGTGCCTGAACGAAACGTTTCATTATACATTTTTAGTTTTCATTTTCATCAAATAAGGGTGTAGGTGTGGGTGGGGTGTGGATGTGTGCGGGCGTGGGTGTGGCTGTGGATGAGGCGTGTGGGCGTGGCAGAAGCGAAGATTAACATCCACAAAAAGAGGGTGTGGGTGTGGGGTGTGACTGGGGTGTGTATGGATGTGTGTGTAGGTGTGGGTGTGGAGTGTGGGTGTGGATGTGGCTGGGGTGTGTATGGATGTGTGTGTAGCTGTAGGTGACTGTGTGGGGTGTGGACGTGGACGTGGGTATGGGTCTGGGTCTGGGTGTCGGTATAAGTGAAGGGAAGATCCACACTCGCACACCGATACCCACACCCCCACTCACCCCGCACCAACACCCACACACCCACATCCATACACCGACACCCACACTCACTCCCACATCGACACCCACACCCGCATCCCTACCCACACCCTCATCCATACCCCACACCCTCATCCATACCCCACACACACCCTCATCCATATCCCACACCCACAACCTCATCCATACCCTACATCCAAACCCTCGTCCATACCCCACACCCACACCCTCACCAATACCCCACAACCCACACCCTCATCCATACCCCCCACTCGCACCCACTATGCGTATGTGTCTACGTCTCGAATACCAATATATATTTGAAAACATTCGCTGTGTCATAGTAAAAGTGCGAACAAATAAAGGTTCATTTTCGAAATATAATTGTTTCTTATTTTGTCATACAATGGTTGGTTTGTTTCTGAAATAGAGTACTGAGAATGAGGTTTTAGTGACAACTAATACCAAAAACATATAATACTCACTTTAATTTTTCATTTGTAGTCTCGATATGCTGCTGATTTTCCATTACCCATTCATGAGTGGATGGGAAGGCTTGTCGATAAATTTTGTCTGCTTTCACGTAGCTCTCTAATGCCAAATCTAGCTTTTCAGTGTCTTCGTAGACTCGTCCAATATGATGAAAGAGAAGTCCTAAATCATAATGCGTTTCTGTACGCGATTTTCCACACATCTCTAAACTCTTTTTCAAGTACTCTAATGCCAATGCATAGTCTCCGTGATAGTAATATGTTTCGCCCATGCCTCTGTATAATCGAGCAATCTTATAGTGATCCGTAGGTAAATATTTATTGCGAATCATCAACGATTGGTTATAATACTTCAGTGCCTCATTATATTTGTCTTGCTCTTCATACAAAATGCCCATATTATAGTAAGTCGTTGCTATTCCTTCACTTTCGGGATTTCGATTAAGTGTACTTTGTTCGATTTCCAGAGATTTTTGATAAACTTCCAATGCTTCTTCATATTGTTTTTTCTGACGAAAAGCGGCACCTAGTTTATTATAAGCAATAGATATCAATTGATCACTGTTTGGTATATGGGAATGAATTTCTAATGCTTTTTTATGGTACGTTATAGACAAGTCATAATCACCTATGGCTCGAGCAACATCTCCCAGACTCGTATAGCAACATGCAGCTTCAGAAGAATTCTTATCATCTAACTGATTCAAATGACGCTGAAAACATTTTGTCGCTTTTTCATATTCACACATTTCTCGTAGCATATTTCCAAGTGAAGTTAGATCAGGATTATATTTTAACATATCCGTTTGAAGATACGATGCAAGTTCTTTTAATTCAGTATCGTTCTCACTGCACAATAACAGTTTTATCGTCCACATACCATCTGATTCGGGTTCAACAACACTTTGGATTTTGAATATTGATCCAACCATGAATAAAATTTCCTTTTCTTCCATAAAATAACTTTGAGAAGAAATATCACCATATGGTTTTACATCTTTGAGAGATGTATTAATTTCAATGTCAAGCAAAACAGGTCGAAGGTGATTTGCAACGGATGCCATTGACGATGTAATGTAGAACATCGCTACCTTTCGATCAAGAGTTGTAGAAATAAAACTATTCATTGACACATATTGTCCGATAGACGGCTTCAGTCTCTGCAATTCTTCAGCCGGCATTAGCTGTCCACGATGGACTCGTGTTATGGATCCACGGTTCTCGTTTCCTTGAAGATGTTTCAGTTCAGAATATATGTCTGCAATAAATGTACGAAATGCAATTAATGTATCAAGGTCTTGACAGCGTAATGCCTTGTTTAGCATCTTGTAGACGCAGCTGTCTCGCGTATACCACCACAGGGCTCTCTGACTTGTATAAGTTCGTTCAAATTCTTGAATCACCTGTAGTTGTCTGTCATTTCCTGCATATGTATCTATGAAGAGTTTAATAAGTTCAAGTCGGTCGTCTTCTGTGTGTCGCATACAAAGTAAAATTTCAATGAAGAGTCGGAACCACAAAAAACTTCCGTTTAACATCCTTAACGATTGTTCAGTTGTAGATGGTGAAGATATGTCATAGATTGACATTGGTAGCGACGAAATCTCTTCCAGTTTTTCAAGCACCTGTTGATCCGATTTTACTGCCGACACTAGTTCATTCGGTTCTGTCAGAGCAGCACGAATCTATCAATCGAAATCGACACTCACCTTCTGCTATTCAGTATTTTTGGCAACCAATACTGTAGTCTCTTACCTTTTGAAAGGTTTTTGACCAGTTTTCATTGCTGTACTTGTCCGTAGAAAATATATAAATCGAAACCAACTGTGATAGATCATGAACTTTTGGAACTAATTCTCTTCCTAGTTCGCCAGACGCAATAAGAATAATCTTATCACCAGAGTTGACTCGGCGCCGTTTCAGCCATAGTTCACAAGAGACACTGTCATCGAATGTCCTTATAAAGTTTACAGTTTCTCTAAGTTTCATTTGAATTCGTAAATTATCTTCGGAATTATTAACATTTACATCACACCATACCAATGCGAAGGTTTCTAAATTTTTATCTTCATCTTCGTACGTTGTTTGTGGGATGCGAAGATGCACAGCTGCAGCTGCGGCGTCAACTGTAGCACTATTGCTACAAATAGAAGGTTCTTGCGCTAATGTAACAGATTTTTCCATTGTCGAGGAGATCGTCTTTGTATCATCCGTTCCTTTTTCAACTATTATACTTTCAATTATGAAATAATTATATCAATGACACTTTCTATATTTTAATAAAGTGGAAGTCAATTTCTGTTCCTATCTTCTTTTCGCTGGTGTCAAAGGAAGCGTACACTGAAAAGAAATAGGCGTTATAAGAAACCTTTGAGGTTTTGCAGTACTTTACTATATACTATCGGGTATTGTAGACGCGCACAAAATCTCCTGAAAATTTCGTAAACCTATAGGTTCTGTGTAATAAATTCTCCAGGTTTTCGTCACCCACAAGGTTTTGTCAAGAATATTATGAAGGTATCGTACTTGGAAAGTATCGTATTCGGAAGGTTTCGTACGAAAATTTTCATCGATGATGCAGGAAGATGCTCACCAATCCGAAAGCCACTTAATCTGAATTTATCAATCGGTTTATCTGTTTATCAATCAATTTGCACTCGAATTTAGCCACTATTTTATTAGGTATTTTTAAGCTCATATCTTTCCATCCTGAGTCATTTCTTGAGAGACCACAAGAGATAATATTAAAGTCGGAATGACTTTTGGTATTTTAACGAGTAGGTATTTACCAAATTTGAGCCCAATTTCGAGTTTCGATATAAAGCTTTACAGATTTGAGCTCGAACCTATGTACTCGAACTCGATCGAGCTCAAACTCTAAGCCTCGAGTTCAACTCGAGGTGAAACCCAAAGGTTCGAGTTCAATTCGAGCTCGAGTTTCTAAGATCGAGTTCAAATTTCATGAGTCGAGTTCGAACCGAGTTCGGTCGAGCTAAGTGTTGGATAAATAAGGAGCCAGTTTTCTATGAATAAAGGATAGTAGCTAAGTATCCAATAGACAACTATCAACCATCCACTAAATGACGTTTACTATATCTTTTTGATACAAAGAATCCCAAAAGATATACGGCGAATTCCATAGATTTCCAACACCTGGGAGTACAATGGGAATTTCTGGAGTACGATGTATCCTACACTGGAAAAAAAATGGTACGATACCGAATCAAAAAAGGTATTTTGAACGAAAAAAAGGTTTCGAATTCGTTGCAATTCTCTGAACCAT